GATTTCGTTGAAGGAGACTAACGGTGCTGATCAGAATTGCCTGCTATTTCCGTATTCTAGGACCTTTGGAATGATCTCTGACCTAATGCCATGCGTGACAGGTGTCAACTTGGCGAATTATCCATGATTTCAAGGAGTTCGGGAAAAGACAGTAGACTATACTTCACAGTGGTCGTATTGGCGAAATCGTCACCTTCAATTTAACCATTGAACTGTTGATTTTGTTGACTTTTTGTGGTTGATGTTGATATATGTGATGGTTGATGTTGATATATGTGATGTTGACTTTGAAAATTATATCTTATATAATGTAAATCTAAAGCAAAATAATATAATTAAAAGACAATTTGTGTTGAAATGTGTCCGTAGCACGATTGAGGTCAACCCAGCGTGCTACTTTTCCCGTCAGGGAGGGCACAACTTATGTTGTTGGGGGTATGCCATTTTGCCGGCTGCCCCACTGTTGTGTAGACCACTGTGGACAATACCTGCCAACTCGAATAAAACATTAAACTTAAATACTTAGCATTTGTTTATTATATATAGGTCTTTGATAATACCTGCATATTTATTGTTTCGCATAATTTATCTACACATAGATTAACATCCCTCAAGTTTGTAATTTTTACGTCCACAATATTACTTAGAATATCATAGTTCTCTACCAATTTATCAAATATCAATTTACTGTTGTCGTTTTTCCACTTGACTGATTTACACGCTGCCCTGCCCTTGTTTTGTTTACATTGTGTGTTATTCATATCGATGTCCGTGTGACCTTTAACTGTAATTCTGAACGATACGGGTGAGTGATCAGAGAAAGGTGTAAATGTACTGCTAGAGAAGTCAGTGATTTTATCTATATTATTCGACTCACATAATAAATAATCTATCAAACTACTTCCATTTGTATTATAAAATGTAAAACCTCCGTGTTCATCATTAGGAATTCTACCATTGACAATTTTCAAACCTGTAGATTTACCTACATCAATCAATCTCCTACCAAACACGTTGCATATCTTATCGGTATTTTGCCTTTTGGGAAAATTCAAATCAAAATCTTCTTCATAGACCAAAACAGTATTCTCGTTAAGCATATCTTGAGGTAACTTATCGTTAGCAATGTAATCGATGCATTCACCTGATCTAGCGTTAAAATCTCCAAAAATATAAACTTCCCCACTATCTTTGTATTTACAGTAAGATTCCTCTAATAATTGAAACAGATCAATGTCAAGTGAATCGTAAAAAACACTATTATTCGGTGGTATATAACAAAATGCTAAATATAAAAAATTGTTGTTGCTGCATTGATTTACGGTACATAGTTTTAACCATACAATACTATCAAAAATAATATCTACTACAGATACTTTGAAAGGCAGTGAATTTCTATATAAAATGACAATACCTCCACCTTTGATTTCTCTTTGTATAACAATTTTATCGTAATTTTCTAACTCAAACGAATCATCTTTACTTATCCATGTTTCACAGAGACAAATGATATCAAATGAATTAATAACTGCCAAAAATTCATCATTTGTTAATTTTTCTAACAGTGAACGACAAACATTCCACGATATAATACTAAGGTCACTTACATTCTCTGCTATTTTATTTCTTTACTAGACTAGAATTAAACATTGTTTCAGAAGGAAGACTTCTTTATAATTGAATATACAGTATTGTATAAGAAATCAATATTGTACAGAACAACAATAATGTCATTTTGATTCAATCAGTTCTTATATCGCAAATATGAAGTTTGTAAACATTTTCTTTTTCCGTCATTGAAATATGAGTAGTTATTTACAATTTTGCAACAAAAAATTTCCGACATCAGAGTTGCCACTCATATTGCTTTCAACATGCCTTCACCCAAGGATGCGCTGTACCAATTTTGGTAAAATTTGCCCAGTGGTTCTTGAGAACAATGTGAAAAGTTTACAGATGGACAGACAGCTAGATGGAAGGAAGGAGGACTACAGGTGATCAGAAAAGCTCACGAGCTTTCAGCTAAGGTTAATCAATAAAACAAAATACATATGATCCAGAATTCGCTGTCAAGGAATTTTCGTTACATCTCTCAAAACTGCCATTTATTTTTTTCTGTTTCACAACTTTAATGAATAAACTTATTTAATATTTTTCTGTTGCTCATATTTAATAATTAATCATGTTTTAATGATTATTAAACAAAAAATTAAACTTTTAATGATCGTTTTTGTAGCAATTTAGTGGACAAACTCTGTGACATTTTTTCATATGGCCCGAAGAAATGAAGGAATAGCAGCAGTAAATAACATCATACCACCTAATTTTCTTGACTCTTTTTTACTGTACAGATTTATTTATTTAATTTACTATGTTTGTTAAAAAAATATAGATAATTTTTAAAATTAAACTATGGTTAAATTTTATGCTTGGGGATGTAACATTTCGTGTCAATTCTGTTACGTCTGTTTCACACCCGCGTTCAGATACAAGAAAGGAAATTTCGATCGTTACAGTCTATTTAAAGTAAGAAGAGATGTCGTAAAACTATTTTAAGACCAGTGAGCTATTCAACTATAAATAAAGTGTTTCTTAATAATCATCGAAATATAATTCCAATTTTCGTGTCAAAATGTTACGTCTGTATATACCTATCAATTATGAATCAACTGAATGACCGAATGACAACATCCTGTTTTTACGACATTTTCTGGTGTCTACTTTCACTTCTGATCGAGACACATGTGCTCTTGTTGGATCAGTGCCAAGAAAACATGGAAGGTGACGGAAGGAGTTAAGGTAGGTCCTTTGTGTGTTACGTCTCTCATTTTTTGTGACTTCAATTTTGACGTAGATTTAAGGATATAATTTGAAGTATTTATAAATCAAATGAGGGTTGTTTTCAAAGAAATGAGAATTAAATTTCATTTAAGATGTAAACAATAAACACTGCTACGCCGACAAAAGAATATTGCTAACTTATTTCACACCATGGTTGGATTGATCGTGTCCATAGTTACATCAAGCCATCCCAATCATGTTTACAAAGATAGGCGTAATTATTGATTTCATTTGCATACTTATTTTATTTTAATTGATTGAATGAAACTTAATAGTGTTAAGGAATAACTGCAGTAACCTCTCTATATATAAAATATCTGAAAATTTATGAAAGATGTAACTTTGACAAGATTTTTAACCATCACAGAATGTGTCAAAGTTACATCACTATTTATGAATGTGCATATTTTTTTTTGTTGATTTTTTTGCGTAAAAAAACTCTTTGGTGTTTTAAGACATGCAAAATACAAGACAAACTTGAATGATGATAGTGTCCAGTATGCTTTGATCCAACATGCTTAAAATATAATTTATGATGTAACATTAGACAACAGTTTTTGTGTCCAAGTTACACCTTTGTGTTAAACTATGTTTTTCATTGTCTTAATGTCTTTCTCAGCAACTTTTTTTTCTTTTCGTGTTACAGATTGGCCCTAAGTTGGATTCTACAAGAAGAGGAAGGGGGGTTGGGTACAGGATGTGATTGAACATACTTTGCTTCAAAGTCAAAGTGATGTCAAAGACATTACATGTATTCCTGCCCCAGATTTTACTTGTCATGGGATCCGTATTTTTTATGTTTTTATAATCTTTAAAAAAATCTTTGATTCTCATCCCAACTGTCTCATATTTATCCCCTGCCTTCATTTTTTTGTTTAGAAATTGATCAAGTAAACAAATATTTCTTTACAATAATTATCAAATAAAAATTAATGTCCCTTCCCGCCACTTCTTTATATCCCCGCTCCGAAGGAATGGGGGTATACTGTTTTACCCTTGTGTTTCTGTCTGTGTGTCCATGTGTCTGTCTGTAACAAATTTTGGTCAGTTTTCTCAGCAACTACTCATTGCAGATGATTGAAATTTTAGCACACTATTTGTTTAGGCATGCCTTATGGTGGGATTCATTTTTGTTCAAATCCAACGTCAACTTCCTATTTATCCATCGTCTCTCCTTACCAAATTTTTGTTGCAGTCTCGGTAACTTCTCATCACAGATGGTTGAAATTTTGGCACACTATTTGTTAGGTATTTTATATGTTTGAATTCATTTTTTGTTTGAATTTGATGTCAACACGAGATGGTATATATTCAAATGAGAGTAGGGGGTATTAGTTACTAGTGAGCATTTTCTCACAGACTTCTTGTTTTAAATTAAAAATTGGATGAGAATCAAAGATTTTTTTTATTTTGGAATGATTGAAATAAAATTGTAAATTAACTTACTAAACTTAGTGGTATTTTTTTAGTTTCCTTTGGTATAGTTTAAATTAAACATGTTAAGAGCTTAGAATCAATCACATTCTGAAAAAAAAAAAATTAAATTGAAGACTTCAGTGTCCACTGTTACATCTCTGAATTTTAAAATGAGGTATAACATTTTCTTCCCTTGCTTTATGTTATTGCAAACTTAATAAAAATATATTTGAAAGCAAGCACATTCCTTTAAAAAACATTTTGCTCAATCCAGGTTAATATTGGGGGTAATTTTTTCTTTTTTGTGCTGAAATATGTGTCCTGTTACATCTGGAACAGAAGATGATGATTTCATAGAAAAGTATTCAGATTTGAGTGTCAAAATTAATAATAAAAAGAATTTTTGTTTTAAAGAAAATAAGATTGGTGTCACAATAAAGAAATGTATTAGTTTTTATTGATTAATTTGACTTGAACTTTAAGTGTCCTCGTTACATCACTCATTCTTAACGAATCTAATTTTAATTGTATTTTAATTTTTTCAAGTCCAACTATCTCGGCCTTCCTAGGTGACTTGGTCCTCATACCATTCTTCAATTTGCAACAATATTTAGAATGATATTTTTAGTCTGAAAAATTGGACACAAAGCTTTGAGTGATGTAACGAAAATTCCTTGACAGCGAATTCTGGATCATATAGACATCATTAATAAAATTTATTTTCACACAGGAACATTGTTAACAGCTTTATTGCAAAGCCAGATATTTATTTCTGAGTTTCAACTTTCTCAAATAAGAAAAATAACAAGACTAAATATATTAAAGGAACACATTTTAAACTTCCATATTTCACTCTAGGAAGGTGGAAAATTAAAATTTCAGACCCCTGAGTGATTTTATTATGAAGTAGCAAATGGATGCACAGTATTCAATTTTTTTCAAAATAGAGATAATCTCAGAATTTGAATCAACATACATGTATTGACCTATGTTGACAAAATTGTTCAGCTTTAGTTTTCAATTCTTTAGTTGTATAACTCAAAATAAAATCAACATAATTATGTTGAACAAAATAATTTACATAAATTCTAGGGCTGTCACAGTTCCAAAATTGTTTGGGTCGGATCAGTTCTGATTTTTTTAGGTTCGGTTTCGGGATTTTCAATTTGGGTAGGTAATGGAATAAAAGCTCATGATTTGTATTTTTTTCAACAACAAAAAGAAAATTTTCATTTAATTTTAGACATAGCAACATTATAAATAGTTTAAAGTAGCTTCCTGACTAGACAATAATTGTACCAAATTATTTAAATAACCTTATAATGGCAATGCACTATCAAATCTCTCGTTTTTGACACCATTTTTATAGTAAATCTATTCTATTGTACACATCCAAACCGAACCGAATTCTGGAAAAACGGAACTGTACCCAACCCCAATTAATTGTTCCGGTTCCGGTTCATTTCGGGTACCTGTGACAGCCCTTTTAAATTCAAATACAACCACATAGTTTCTGTTCCTGACATAAGCCACAATATAAGGTACATCTTCCATGATAATAAATATTCTTATCGTTAAAAATGACTACACTGTCCCCATTAAAATTGAATGTTTTACATTTCATTAATTAATTATAGTTACCCCCTTACTACATTAACGCCTCCCCTTATGAATTCACCCCTTACTATAATAACACCTCCTCCTATGACAGTATAACAGTTTGATTATCCTCCGGTATAACCACATACACAACTTCTTCTCCATTCTCGTCCCCCTGGTAAATGATACTGTCCGAGGGCATGGTAATGTGAGTGGCCTCCCCTGAATACAGCGCTGCTAGATTTGCCGCCGTAGCCTGGGCGGCTTCTCCGTCAGCCTCGAACTGGATCGTCGACACGGCCGAATTAGTCTCACTGGGCTGTCCCTCGTTGTTAATCTCAAAAGGAATAGTGACGTGGGTCTCAACCACTTCCTCTGTGACCCCCTCCTGTGGATTGTCCGCGGTAGACACAGGGATGTACTGTACAATGTTGTTGTCATTGACGCTGGAGGCGGGGGTGTGGATCACCGTGATTACGCCATCTTCCTCTATAGTCTGAATGTTGGGACCATCACTGAAACATCAAAATACAGGTTCAGATTAATGCTGTACATTTTTTAAACAATGTCTTTATCATGTTTATCAGCTATTGATATCAAAATTTGCACGAGTTATTTTCCTTGACACATTATCTCCAAGGATATTATGCATAAATCATCTTTTAAGTTTTTCCTTATAATTCTTTTATTATCTAACAACATGTACTGAAGAATCAAACACTTTTAACCTTCAAAGACAAAAAAGACCTTAACTGCTTCATTAGTTGACCAATTTAAATTTGTGAACAAGGTAGCAAGAGTTATGCTTCCTGTTAAAACCCTATGCTTGCATATAGGCTTTATATGGGCAAATTGAAAATTTTCTCTTACATCAAGAGGTACTGTAAATCACTTTTTATTCGCGAGAACTTTATTTTCGCGTAATTACGCGAGACAGCATGCTTGCGAAAATTTAATTCTCGCGTATAATAGTATTCCTTAAGATTATATAGAGCAATAACCACAATTCGTGAAAATTTTGTCTCGCTTAGTAAGAATCAATGACTATCTCGCGAAAATAAGGTGTCGCAAAAATTTAGTGATCTACAGAATTTCCAAGTTCTATCACAAAGACTCACAAAAAAGATTTCTTTTATGCTGCAAATTCTGTACACATTTCTATATCTTATTCTCCCTGTTTACACCTATGACCTATCCAATATCTATATACAGTCAAACTTGTTTTAAGAGGCCACCTTTGGGAAGTCTGGAAACTGGCCCCTTAAGACAGGTGGCCTCTTATTCCAGTTTGCCCTCGAAAAAAAACATTCGGGCAATGAATAAACAACATTAAGCGCTACAATTAAATTAATAAAATAATAAAACAGGTCAATTTAACAAAGGCTCTTTATGTGTATGTATAATAATTCAAGCTCATTCAAAAAACTATTAAAGAATTAGAATTTTTTAAGGTTTTGTGCATGTTTTTGTTCCTACATATTAGTCAAACAAGAAATACATACAGTGCCTGACTATTATCCTTTTTTATAAAGAAAAAAAAAATACACAAAAATACAGTTTAATGGTAAATAAAATAAAGCATAGAAACTTAAGTACCGGTAAGAATATCTCAATAAAAATTTAACTTGCATATGTTCAAAAATGGTCAGCAGTGTAACCCCCCCCCATTAATTCATCGGCAATTAACTTACTTGCTGAAGTTTTTATAGTTTGGTGAATTTCATTGTTTATAAACCTATCAGAATTTCTATGTAACATAAGACACAGAAATAAAATTAACCAGTTGATCAGAGAGATGTATTGACACAGTTGAAAATCATTCCATAACACAGACCTGTCATATGCAGTAGAGCGTGACTAATCCCTATCGATCGTTTGTTGATAGTGAAATTCACGATATAATCATGCCACATGAAGCACTTTGTTTTCACAAGAGTAGCAATTAGGGCTTCTACATGGAATCAAATTCAAAAGGTGTGAATTTCTTTAGATAGAGGAAAGCATCAATTGTATTTAAGGTAGAACCTATGTCGGAGAAGTCTTTGTCACAAAATTTTCAAACTTTTCATAATGATAAATTAGCACTTGCTTATCAATCAGTTAAAAACACATGACATGTTTCCTGGTTATTAAATGTAGTGCAGCCAGTTAAACATGGAATGATAAATACATGTTGCGACTTCACAATTTCAGTCATTTTAGGGGTACTTGTCATGCAAAGAAGACAACAAAATCCCAGAATTGCTTCTTTAAACATGGTTGTTTTTATTGTCTATTAATTGAACAGTATTAAACCATATTTCCCGAGAATAACTTCTTTTTTATTCAATTGACATATAAGATAAGTCCACATTTTTAAAACTATAGGCAAATGAACTCTATTTATTTTCAGTCAATTTTCCGCCCTACATTTGTAAATATATATCTGAAGTCTTTATCACAATGTTTTCAATTTTGAATATGATAAAGAACATACCCAAATGATTACAAAAAGTGATTAAAATATATACCTTTCCCCTTTACCTAATGAGAGATAGGTTATTTACCGATACTAATATTTTTGACCTTTTTGCACTTACACGGATTTTATTATTAAATGACTGTTCAGGGCTACTTTCAGCTTAAGAATGTTTATAAAAATTGTACTTTTAATTTAAAAGATTATATTTAATAGAGAAATTGTAATAAAACTCTCCAAGAATATGAATAAGTAACAAATAATTATGAAAAGGAATACACATCATTTCATGATAGATATCACAAAATGTACACACAGCCTACAACACGTACATCTTTGACTTAGACACATTTCATCAAGATATTACACTATTTAGTTGGCAACTGACGATTTTTTAAAAAAGAATTTTGCATTCCTTCAAAATAGTTACATACCATTTATATTATTACAGTTTGTTGTATACATGGCAATTTCATCACACAATATAGTCTTGGATTTGTCAACTTAATTAAGGTCAAGATCTATTAAATGAAAGGTGCCCACAGGTTTATCTCATTCAAGAAATATATTGTCATTAAGCATTATATTAAAAAAATATATAAATCGAATATTATGAAGATTATTTCGGCAGGATTTTAAATTGAATTCTGTGAATTTCAAAATGCAGTATTTTCTATCATTTCTATACTAAAGCTGTAAAGTACGGGAAATGACATTGAATTAATTATGACGTCTTAATGGATCTAGCACAGGCTAAGCACATTCACTAGTTATGATGTCATACGACGTAGGTTCAAAGTTAAATTATTTTTATTTTGCAATCGGCGATCTTGAAAAATAATTACAAATTGATCTAACAGATTTTTTCATAAATGCAAACAGAGTTCAGTGTATCTAATAGTAATTTGTTTAATTGCATTAATAGCTAGTTTAAATTGGCTATCAGGATATAATTATCCAAGCGATTGAGTTTAAAAGACACAATAGAATCACAGCAAGTGACGAAATGGCTGCCTATTACAGTGTCAATAAGGCTATGGGTGGGGAATTTGAGTGGATGCTGGCCGTGTTACACAGGTGGCCGTTTATTCCAGTTAAAATATATAGTAAAAATCGTCGGGGGGAACTGAAAGTGGCCGCTGATGGCAAGTGGCCATTGATTTCGGGTGGCCGTTAAGACAAGTTTGACTGTACTTACAGTGACACTATCTTGGTCCTGACTGGTTCCTGCATGTGGATCTGTTTGATGTGTCTGTTAAGCTTGGCTTTCTCTAGGAACCCCTTACTACAATAGTCACACTGATGTCTGTAGATTCCGTCGTGATTGTCAAGGTGACTCTGTAGCTTGAACTTCAGGCGGAATCCTGTAAAGAAAATACGTGTAAGTGTGCATCCTATTATAACTGTATAGGTGATTCCGAACTTAAAGTATTGAGAAATAACTCTGCTAGGGTATAATATATTCCATGTCCTAATATTACCAATTCATTTAAAATGTATTTATAACAATGCTTTTTTAATATCATTTAGACAAAACAAAGTAGGAAAGACCCTCCTTCAAAAAGACACACTGTCTGAAAATCAAAAGCCTGAAGGGTTTCAATGGCATCAAACACGAAAACAATTTTAAAAGATCTGAAGATTTTTTCTATTGCAGATGCATCCACTGACACATTTGGTCACAGTGGCGATTTCGCCTAGCCAATCACTAGATGACAATCCAAGAGCTCTTTGCCATAATAAAATTGAGGATATTCCAATGAAATGGACAGTGGCTGGTATGGCAGTTCCTTACCTTTTACCACAGATGTGACAGATGTGTGGATTCTGCCCTGTGTGGGAGTTCCTTACCTTTACCAGAGATGTGACAGATGTGTGGATTCTGTGTGTGAGTTCCTTACCTTTACCACAGATGTGACAGATGTGTGGATTCTGTCCGGTGTGGGAGTTCCTTACCTTTACCACAGATGTGACAGATTTGTGGATTCTGTCCGGTGTGGGAGTTCCTTACCTTTACCACAGATGTGACAGATGTGTGGATTCTGTCCTGTGTGGGAGTACGTGTGGAACTTCATCCTCTCCTTACTGACGAAGCCCAGACCACAGTATTTACACTTATAGGGACGTTCTCCTGTGTGAAGACGACGGTGACACTGCATAGCTCCCATCTACAATAGAAAATAACTCAAATAGACTTATATCTCATATTAGACATATAACTGGTATAATCTTATAGATGATGTTAAACTAGTAGCTGATAAAGACGATGTAGATTTATACAGTAAAACTCATTTAGTGCAAACATGGATATTGCAAATTGACGGATATAGCGAAGTAACTTTGGATCCCAAGCTTTTTAAATTTAACAAATTCATTATACGGATATATCGAATTACAGATATAGCAAAGCAATTTCACAGGCCCTGATGATTTCTTTATAACAGAGTTTTACTGTACTTGATTTTAGACTTAAAATCAATATTTTAATCAAGAAAACTCACCAAAAAAATCTTCAAATACATTTTTTTCATTGAATAACTGTTATCTCATTATTTTTTTGTTTGGATAAAATTTATGTTTACAGGAAAAATAAAATTTAATATCATAAATAAATTGTAAATTTTGGGACAGCAACTGTTTTAAGTCAATCAAAGTAAAAAAGTGTATATTCCTCATTAACTCATTTATTTCCTGGTCTGGCTCAACCAAAAAAAAACAAAGATACTGAGACAACAAAGGCGGTAATTAATTTACCCAAATCACAAAAAAATATATCCGGTGTTAATGACTTCCTCACCTGAGTGAATGCCCGATCACAGATGTCGCAGACGTAGGGTTTTTCCCCGGTATGTCGTCGGCGGTGACACTTGAGGATGTTCTGCTGGGTGAATGACATGGGACACAGGTCACACTTGAAGGGCCTCTCTTTACTGTGGACGCGGCTGTGCTTCTGTAGATCAGCCTTCTCAAAGAACCGCTTACCACACTCCTTACAAACCTCATTACGAATCTGATGAAATGGACAAAAATACTTCTTTTTTATCACATGCAGAATTTTTTATTCAAAGATACAAACATCATTGCAAATCTGACAAATGACCAAAACTAGAGTTTTAAAATCTTATTTTATTAGATATTAAAATCACTGCTTAAATACTACTGGCAACAAAATACATTGGAATTTCTGTCTAGATATCATTGTATGAAATGGATTTCTGCTAAATTATTTACACTTAAAATATTCTAAATGCACAATTCATGTAAATGCAATAGATTTATTAAAAAAAAAAAATGAATAGTATCAATACAAGTATTAACAAAATGTTTGTGAAAATTTCAAAAGTGTTGAAACATTTGAGTCCTACTGGATTTAACAGCAAGAACAAATGTTAGGATCAGCAACTGCTGAGATATTTTAGACGGGTGATAACTGTTTGCACCTTACCTGAGTGTGGAGATATTTATGACGTCTGAGATGAGATAGCTGAATGAAACGTTTTCCACAATCCTGACATTCGTATGGACGCTCACCTGCATTATAAAGCAATATAAATTTGTACATTCATGTCATAATTCTTAAAAAATTTTAATTTGAAATCAGCAAAAGTGTATATTATACAGATTTCTATATTAAAGTACTGTATACCTGTATGTATTCTGATGTGATTCTCCAAACTCTTTTTCTCCCCGAATCCTTTCTGACAATGTGGACACACAAATGGCCTCTCTCCTAAATAATCAACAGTTTGTTTATTAGAAAATCAATACAGAGTCAAACTTTGTTATTTCGTTCTCAAAATGACTGGGAATAAAAACTTTGAGATAGCTGATGGCTGAGATATTGAAGATAAAATACTTTAAAGAATAATGGGTTGAGACTTCCAAATCACTTCAACATATTCACTGAATTCAAAATCTCAAGTGTTCAACATACCAAAACTTTAACCTGAATGTATAATCAAAACTTATCCCTGACCTTTGATTATCTGTATGTTTGACCCTGACATACCTGTGTGCTTGACCATGTGTCTCTTTAGATGCCCTTTATTGTAGAACTTCCTGTCACAATGTTCACACTGGAATTCTTCCACCTCGTCCCCCTCCGGAGGGTGACAGAACTTGACATGCTTCCTCAGGGTGTCCTGATAAAGAAGAAAGAGTTGTTTCTCTTGAAATGTTCATGAAACAATGTGATGAACAAAGGCATTTTAAATGTGCTCCATACATTTGTAAGGAAGCAAGAGTTATCTTTCTTGAAAATTCATGCCCATGTTCTACTATGTATAATACAAGGTACACAGCACTCAGTTAATCTATCTTCATAAAATTCCCATTTTCATGCTTACATAGAGGGAAAAAATTACTAAAATCATGAATGCTGAACAATACAGTAAAACTCGTTTAGTACGAACACGGATATAGCGAATTTACGGATATAGCAAAGTCATTTTGAATCCCCAGCTATATAAATTTAATGAATTTCTTATACGGTTATAACGAATTACGGATATAGCGAAGTGATTTCATAGGTCCCAGCGACTTCGTTATAACCGAGTTTTACTGTATTCACACAAGATACACATCTTTATTCTTAAAATAAGGACCATGTTTCAATGTTTCATATTCCTCAATATGTCTACTTTCTACAACACAACTGACCTTGTCCTTGTACGACCTTGGACAGACATCACACTTGTACATCCTAATCTTGGTGTGGGTCATGATGTGCCGCTTCAGGTGGGTGATCTTAAAGAAGCGCTTGGGACACATACTACACTGGTGGATTCTATCTGGTACCTCTGTGTGGGTCCGCATGTGGATCTGGTACAACCTGGTGTAATTAAACAGAAGTTAATGTAATTTAACAGAGGTTAATGAAAGTTGTTATAAACAGATCAGTGCGAGAAATGGCTGATCACAGGGTGGCAACAATAAATCACTACTCATCCCTGGTGACAAGTATGATATCATACTCACTTGTCTCCATGATGATTATACTATGGAACTTACTTCAAGTTAAGTTGATCATGTGACAATTATGTATCATGTGACTCACTTGACCTTTGTGTATCATGTGACTTACTTGACCTCTGTGTATCGTGTGACTTACTTGACCTCTGTGAATCATTTGACTCACTTGACATTTGTGTATCATGTGACTTTCTTGACCTCTGTGTATCATGTGACTTACTTGACCTCTGTGAAGCTCTTGTCACAGTATTTACACTTGTGACTCCCACTCTCGTCCACTGGTATAGCGTCATGCCTCTCTCTGTGTTTGATCAGATATTTCTACAAAGAAAACTTAAAGGTTAAAAATAAAACTCTTTAACACATTTCAAATTTTTTCCTATGCATTATACTCAAGCTTAGTTATTCAGAAGTCTTTCACACAAAATGTACATCTTGTTCTTACATCCTTAAACAACTCATTTTTCTAGCAAGAATATCACTATTGATATAATACACACTTCATATATGTGTCTACATATTTCAAGTTCAAGCAAATTTAAGTATATATACCTGTAGTGAGAATCCCTTTCCACAGAAGTCACAGAGCCAGGCCTTCTCTTCCGTGTGGATCTTCTCGTGTTCCTTCATGGTGTAGTAATACTTGAACAGCTTCCCACACACACTACAGCCGTACCTCTTCTCAGGATGAGCCGCCGACACATGTCTCTGTAACTTAGTGTACTTATCAAACCGGGTCGGGCAGAACTTACAGGGAAACGGGTCATGCATGTAATGCTCAGCCTCCAGGTGTACATCAAGGTCCAGGACGGTCTGGCAGGTGGTGGTACAGTGTGGACAGGCGTGCTCGCCGAACTGTTTGTGTCGGTTGTCGTAGATGACGTTGTCGGGGCTGACACTGTCCAGGGACTCCGTCCTCATCCCAATGTCCCTGACCTCTCCTTCCTCCAACATGTCACCGGTCAATGTGCTGTCCTGACTCTCCTCATTCTCAATCTCCTGTAAACAAACAAAATACAAATTTACCGTATATACTCGCCTATAAGTCGGATTTTTGGGAGTTAATTTCTGGTCCAAAAATCTATGTTCGACTTATAGGCGAGCTATGAAATGAATGGTTTTATATGAGGTCAGTCCTATGATATATAAGCTTATAAAATACAACCGACTTATAGGCGGACCGACTTATAGGCGAGTATATACGGTAAGACAAACGTGTACTTATTTTATTAGTCAGAATGTATCTGTATGAAATCTACCTTTTGTCATGCATAATGAGAAAAAATTTTCCCATTTGTTTCCTTTATATAAGCAATTATTTTGAT